CCAGCTTCGTATGTTAGATGTAATGCGCCAGAAGGTGGTTGTGTCCTTTGCCTTAACAGCTTTTATGAGCCAATCCCAATTGTTTTTCATAGCCTCTCTCTTCTTACAGGTTAGTAGTTGTTTGTATTGTCTCTTTTGCAGCAGAAGGTCTTGTGCAGCAGTTGGGATAGGATTGAGTTTACAACTCATAAATAGTGGAGAGGGCTTTTTTAGCAGAGAGACATTCCTTATCAAACCATGTTTGTGATTGTTGATATGGTTGCTGAAGTACCTGTGTCCCCTCTGTATTATTGCCCTGGCGTAACTGACTTTGGAGCTCTTGGACAATGTTTCTGTAGGTTTCCATGAGTACATTGGGAGTTTGTGCTAAGATCAGAGAAGTGCGGAGGCTCGTAAGCCGCTCTTTCGCCAGCAGGTCTGTTATTCTTTGATTCATGTGTGGGGACCACTTGGCTCACTTATAGGATCCTTCTGTAGGCTGTATCGAAGATTTATAGGATTCCGTTAAATGGATTTCCTGGGGGGAAAGATGTAGTTGAAGCAGAACTGGAAAATGATCACTCTCAGGTTTAGACATAACTTTTAGAGTTTTAGCATAGGGGATAAAATCCCTAGAAATTGCTATATAGTCAATAGTGCTAGTTTTTTCACCTGAGAGGAAGGTGAATTCACCTGGATAATCTCCTTTTAGCGCCCCATTTAGGATGTGAAGATTTAGCCTATATGTTGTTCTGGCTAAGCATAGGCCTGCAAAATTCGATTTCTGGTCTTTGGACCAGCGGGGAAGAAGGGGTTCTTCATCCTCACAGGATGGTGGTGGGCAGTTCTGCTGCTTATAGAGAGAGAGGTCATCTGGGCCCATCCTTGCATTAAGATCGCCTCCCAGCACTATAGATGTATCAGGATTCTGCATTATAAGGTCCTCAACGTAGGATTCTAGCTCCATCCATACAGCTTTAACTTGGGCTTTTTTCCTCAAAGGGGGTATGTAGGCATTTATTATCAGCACTTTATGGTTGATAAGTTGGATTAAGATGGCCATGGTGCTTGACATTAGCGGTGGTAAAGATGTTACCTTTATCCATAGCTTGTTGGAAATTAGGATTGTTAAACCACCTTTGGCTCTCCCATATCTAGTTGGGGGTTCTGCCTTTGTTGAGTAGGCTTGGAATCCATTACTTGATACAGGGTTAGTCAAAAATGAATAGGCCAATAAGAAAATTAATTTTAGACGAATGTATGTTTACTGTAACCAAACCACAGCTACGTAGCGACAGATAAACTATCAAAGTTTTTTTTGAGCAACACACATGTACGTTAATGCCGCTAGGCGTCGCTAGGGGTCGCTGTTTTCAAAATGGCGGAATCAAGCAAAGAGAAGGCGTTTTGTGTGATGACATTTGCTAAAACAATGTCAGTAATTACGGTCCAGCGAGAATTTCGAGCCAAGTATGGCAAGGAACCACCTCATCGACATTCCATTGCGAGGTGGGTAAAGTTAGGGTTAGGGATAGGGATAGGGTTAGGGTTAGGGTTAGGGTTAGGGTTAGGGTTAGGGTTAGGGAGGATAGGGTTAGGGTTAGGGTTAGGGTTAGGGATAGGGATAGGGTTAGGGTTAGGGTTAGGGTTAGGGTTAGGGTTAGGGTTAGGACCTCAACGAACACCTTCCCAGACGTTTGCTGACAATCCGGATAGCCATACAGCGAGATGAGTGCGCAAAACGAGTGGGAATGAACAGGACTATGCTGGGACATGGCCGGTGATCACACGAGTCGCGCCCACACATAAAACCGAACACCTAACTGCAACGAGGAGACAAAAACTACTATAGTTTAATCGGCCTAAGTGAGCTGTAGATGGGTACAATAAAAACATACATTCGTCTTAAATAAAGTTATCACTCATTGGCGCTAGTAATTTTGAAAAACTGAT